GCCAGCAAAGACCAAAAATTTTATGAGCGTGGAATTATGCTACTACCAGAAAGATGGCAAAAGATGTTGGACCAGAACGGTCAATATATAATTTAATAAAGTATTTGTTTATTATACGAGAACTGTCTTTCATTTCCACAACAAAAAACGAAATGACTTTCCGAACAACCCTATATTTACAATAGGCAAATCAGCTGGAACGTATGTTATGCAGCACACAAAATTAGTTGTGACTTACGTTCCCCTACACTTATTATTACGATGTAAAGCTACAACTGTCTGTTTTCTGTAAAAGTATTACAATGTGATGCTGTTGCCATTTATTTTTGAATTCGCATTTGCACTTAATGCTTAATCGGTACAGAAAAATTTATATATTCATACCAGCAGCCTTACTGGAAGGTGAAGAGGCCGTTTGAATAAGATTTTCTGGCATGCAGACGATGCCTTGCATTTCGTTAGTAGGTTCTGTAAAAAAGAAATCGAACATTACTATCTTTTTTCCTTTCCGAGAATAAAATCATCGAAGTCAATCAAGAAACCCAAGCAAACTCAAGAGGTGAAAACTTCTTATTTTTCTTTACATAATCATGCCAACATTTCACTCTACAATGTTAAAGCTTCGCGTCATTTTCATAATCCATACCCTGATTAAACGATTATGTAAAGTAATAAAAAGTTTTCACCACTTGAGTTTTGTTCATTGAAATGTATTAGGGGAAGAAGTCTTTATCTTCTTTGTTTTGTTTCTCGCATAAAAGAACAACGCCTTATAGGTAGGTAGGGATTTGTTTAAAAACTAGAACGCGCAAGTGGTAATCATTCATTAACAATAGTGCTTTATAAGGTGCTACCCAAACCTGCATGAATAAAAGTAGCGTAGAATGTTAATGAGTTATAAATCGATGACACGATATTGTAAATGTTGATGCATTTCTTAAATATGGGGGGTACAATGGTACAAATGAGAGCGGTGTGCGTTAAATTCTACTTACTCGGATGATTTCTTCATTGGCTAGATACACCTGTTGAATGCTTAAATGAATTCAGGCGCTTTTTGACACTGATCGTGAATATCTAGTACTTATTTGTATTTTACACCTTTCATTTTAATTCTTCGGCTAAAAAGTGAAGTACACTTGGAATATTTCAACGATTGACAATGAAACATTAGTACCATTATTAAATAATCCTTGACATTGTTGAATTGTTGTTCTTGTGTCGATGAAGAATTTATAAATATTAAAACTTACGGATCAAGGAGTACTCACGTAAGTGAAAAACAAAACACATTTTTTAATGTTTACACTAACCTACATGGATGTGCCCACAAGTGAACTTTATACAAACAAATTTTATACATGCGGAATACCTTTGGAAGGTAATTTCTTGTATGTTGTCCTAACAATTTAACGTAATTAAATAATTTACTGAAGCTAACTTTTACCTATAAGTAGTTCTTTAGTTAACTTAATCTATTCACCTAAACAGTAGAGATAAACAATAAATTTAAAACAGTACAAATGTCATTATTTTCTGCTTTTCTTGGTTATTAATTTGTTTCTCAGAGGAGAGGAAACAAATGTAATGTTTTAACGACGCCTACTATATACATAAGAGATACCCATTAAAAGATGTAAAATTTTAGGCGGCGGTTATAATTTCATAACACAAACTGACGTGCAAGACGTCAACTAAAAAAGAAACATCAGAAATGAAAAAAAGTGCTCTCGGAATCGACCCCGTATATTAAGAGGGAGATAAGTGGTTAAAAAATAAATAAATTGAGTTCACATTCATCTTTTGTGTAAACGTGCGGGCAGCATATGTTCGTTTCACCTGCTCTCAACAGTCTAAAACACGGGAATTAAACACCTGCTTTGGCGCGTGCTGAACTCGCTGCTGCTTTTTTCCCTCGACCTCAAGAACGAACGTTCACTCACTTTTATCTCGGCGAACATCACCTGGGCACACGCTGCAACTTTGCCCTTCTGGTACCAAGTGGTTGATACGAGGTCGGTGTTAACCCTATCGGTTAACTCAATGTATTATTTCCTAACCAGTTTGACCAAAACTATTCCCTCACACTGTCTACAGAAATGCGAGTAATTCCAGTCATCAAAAAGAAAAATTTGGAGGATAACGATAAGGATAATCTCATTGACTTGAGAATAGTTTTCAGTCAATTAAAACGTAAAATGCGCTTTGCGTTATCAAAAACAACTTCATCTTCCAAAGTCCCGTCCTAATCTAAGTAGCAGCCTCATCAAGGAGTACGTACCTGGTTTGTACCCTGTTTGGTAAATGTTAAACAAAACAATTTTTAAAAAGAAACAATAACATTTATTGCAGGTATTTGCCTTTTGTAATAGACCAAAGGAAACAATATTTTACAACAAAACTGCGAATCAAAACAAAAATTATTTACAAGCAAATAAAATATTTCTGACCGCCGCGACGTATCTTTATCAGTTTGTTATCTTCGGAACAATTGTCTTGCAAGAAATCAGACACGAGTTTTTGTTATTTTGTGACGTCTTTCCTTTGGTAAATAATAATAGGTAAAGTAAACTGTGTAATTACTCATCGTCCAGAAGTATTAACGCAAATGCGACATCTAATAGGAAGACAATGGAATAATGGCGTCGCATAATCTCAAAACATTTAATGTCGCGGAAGGTACGTTGTTGCATAAACGTATAGTTTGCGGTGGCTTGTGCTTTAAAAGCTACGCTTTCACGACTCGAGATGACAGTCAACAGACCGAAAATATTTTCATAATAACCAGAAATTCACGAAATGTATGCTATTAATATTGAGAAACAATAAACAAAGCTAATCTACAAAACCTAAAATAAACCTATTTTTCGAGGAGACTTCGTAGTCATAAAGATGTGATCTAGGTTCCTTTTCTTCTACTGCCATCTAAGAAACCAAATTACCCGTGTTTTTCTATACATATGTAGGTGCAAACTTTGAACATTATACTAAATAATAGCCAAACAATTTTATTGATTTATAATAATACATTATTTACTTCCAAAGGTTTTTTTGAGAGCAATTTTATACTTGGTATTTCATATTTTGCATTTTCTATTTTAAATATCTTTTCTCGAATCTCTATTGGCATCTTCATGATAAAAATGAAAAAATACAATTTGCAATCAATTCTATATGTACTTATGTAGGTATAAAACACTCTTACAACCAGATACATATCAATATCAGTTATTTGTGTAAAATAAATAATGATTTGATTAAATTTGATTAAAGGTTTGCCGACCTTTTTTCAAGATAACTGAGATATCTCCATCTTGGAATCGAATCCATTAAACCGCTCAGATAATTGCGTCTCGTATTTTATCTAATTACAGGTTGAATATCCACACTTGTGAAGCACCTGATCTAGAATTATTATACCTCTACGTATTTACTATCTAACATTGTTAATAATTTTGTTAAATCATCATTTTTCCGATTAATGGTGACAAGTGTAGGTAAGTATATATTACAGGTAATGCAAAAACATTAAACATTTGTTTATCGGCATTTTTCTTTGTATGTCGCACCAGTGAAAACACATATTTTGGTGAACGTGTGCAATTTATTTTTTCAACCACGTATATCTAAAAATATCTCCTACTTCTCTGATGAAAACTTATCTTAAACTAATCCAACTCTCAAAATCATTTAATTGCTTTTGTTGAACTTACATTACAAAGCTGATGAAAAGATGGACGAAAGTATTTGTATTTTGTAATTTTCCTTTACCACATCGCTTATACTAATTATACTATGCCGCACTTTATTAATTGCAAATATTAGAATTTTCCTATGGTCAGTTCTCAACTAGCCACTACTGTATATATATAGGTATGAGTAACAACCAAAATGAATTAATACGT